CAGTTCTCAGTCCAAGAAAGGACCTTCCCTCTTATCCCATGTCCATGTAATTTACACAAGAGCCTTTGGTGAGGGACCTTGTCAAAGGCTTTCTGAAAATCCAAGTATACTATATCTACTGGATCCCCCTTGTCTGCATGTTTGTTAACCCCTTCAAAGAACTCTAATAGATTAGTAAGACAGGATTTCCCTTTACAGAAACCATGTTGACTTTTGTCCAACAAATTGTGTTCTTCTACATGCTTTACAATTTTATTCTTTACTATTGTTTTGACTAATTTGCCCGGTACTGAAGTTAGACTTACCAGTCTGTAATTGCCCGGATCACCTCTAGAGCCCTTTTTAAATATTGGTGTCACATTGGCTACCTTCCAGTCATTAGGTACGGAAGCCGATTTAAGGGATCGGTTACAAACTACAGATAATAGTTCAGCAATTTCCCATTTGAGTTCTTTTAGAACCCTTGGATGAATGCCATCCGGTCCCGGAGATTTGTTAACAATAAGTTTTTCTATTTGTTCCAAAACCTCCTCTAATGACACTTCAATCCGGGACAGTTCCTCAGATTCATCACCCACAAAGGACGGTGCAGATTTGGGAATCTCCCCAACGTCCTCAGCTGTGAAGACTGAAGCAAAGAAATCATTTAGTTTCTCCGCAATGGCTTTATCGTCCTTGATTGCTCCTTTTATAGTTCGATCATCTAGGGGACCCACAGGTTTTTTAGCAGGCTTCCTGCTTCTAATGTACTTAAACATTTTGTTATTTCTTTTTAGTTTTTGGCTAGCTGTTCCTCAAAACCTTTTTTTGCTTTTCTTATTACATTTTTATACTTGATTTGACAGTGTTTATGTTCCTTTCTATTTATCTCACTAGGATTGTAGGAATAAAGAAAAATTGTATTCTCTTGGCCCATCCCTAGTCAGCACACTTTTATGGTGTGTGTCCTGGGTGGGTGCACTTACATCTCATGAGGGATGAGATGTACTAGAAGGCCTTCCTGCACTTGGGGCACTCTTCCCCAGAGCTTCCCTGAGGTTTGTTAATGGCTGAGCTCTCTGACATTTTCCCAAATATAGGGCATTTTAAAGGTTTCTTCCCTGTGTGGATTCTCTGGTGAACAACAAGGACTGACCTCCAACAGAGGCTTTTCCTGCCCTTGGCAGTTCATAGTTGTGACATTATGAATATACATAACATTGTTGCAACCACTGTCATATGCTTGCATCAAATCTTGTGCAAAGTGGATCAGGTGAGATACCTACAGAAAACTTATGATTCACTGATTCTATTTATACCACTCATATCATGTATCATTTTTGTACTTGAAGTTATAAAGACTTTGCTGTGTAACTTCAGACCAGTATGTAAGCTATGGCTGCTTGCATAAAAAGGACCAAGTCATGCATGGACAGGTGACTTGCTCATGTGACAAACTCCATTTTGGGAGGTTCTTTCACACAGTGGCCGTGTCCAGACTCAGGGGTTTTTTCGGGAAAAGTAGCCTTTTCCCGAAAAAACTTCCCCTGCGTCCAGACTCAAGCCGCGTTCTTTCGAAATTATTTCAAAAGAACGCGGCTTTTCTTTCGATGGCGGTAAACCTCATTTCACGAGGAAGAACGCCTTCTTTCGAAAGTTCCTCTTTCAAAAGAAGGCGTTCTTCAATGTAAAGAGGCCGTCTTTGAAAGAGAGCATCCAGACTCGCTGGGTGCTCTCTTTCGAAAAAGCGGATTTCTCTTTCGAAAGATCCGCCTGCAGTCTAGACGCGATCTTTCGAAAGAGGCTCTTTCGAAAGATGCTTTCGAAAGAGCCTCTTTCGAAAGAAGCCTGCAGTCTAGACATAGCCAGTGTGAACAATGGAATTCCCACCACATGGGCAAGGATATAAAGATGGCCCTAGAGTTCCTCCATCTTGTCTGTCTTCATTTCAACTCATCACTTCAGGAGCATCTTTGCTACAACTTGAGCCCAAAAGAACTGATGACCCATCCTAACAAAGGATGTATTCCAGAGATGTTTAAGACAGCAGTTTATTCCATCTCTGCTACAAGCCTGCACCAGCCTGTAAATTGTCATTAACAATTTTACTTTCAACCTTTTCTTTCTTTATTAATAAAACATTCAATTTTAGATTTTGTATAAGATCTAAGGTGTACATTAATCTGGAAATGTGACTGTTCCTTGAGGAACTATTAATCTGGAAATGTGACTGTTCCTTGAGGATTGAGAGAACCTCTTCAGATTTGGTGAAACTGGTTTTCGTAACCTCTCACCTGTGTAAGATGTGATACTGGCTGTGGCACTAGAGAAGCTGATGTGTCTGAGAGGATTGCTTGTGTGTTGTCTTGCTGACCAGTGCAGCAAACAGAAGTGCTTTTTATGACTGATTTGGTGTGCTTTATAGTGGAGGACCGCCAGTCTTGGGCTGTAAAGCAACCTCTTCTGACAGATGATCAATGAGCTATCCACTCAGATCAAAACTTTGCCTGCAGTCAGAGCATTTATAAGGGTTTGGTCTTGTGAGAACTCTCTGAAGTTCAATAGGGTGTGAGTATTTGCTGAAACTTTTCTCTCAGTCAGAGCAGTTGAAGGGTTTCTCTCCTGTGTGGATTCTCCTACGTCTAACAAAGTCTGACCGCTCACTGAAAATGTTCTCAGTCAGAGCAATTATACACAGTGTTCCATCCATTTTTTCCCACATGTATGCAGAATGAATTTTGTTAGGGGCACCAATATGTAGGGAATGTGCGACACATCATCTCCATACTGGTGCACAGAACAAAGTTCATGTGGTAGGAGTAGGGCTGGGACTCAGGGGTTTGGATTGTGGGAAGGGGGCTCAGGGCTATGGCAAAGAGCTACGGAGCAGGGGTGTGAAGGCTGGCTCTGGGATGGGGCTGAGGGGCTCAGGGCTGAGATAGAAGTTTGAGGTGTGGAAGGGTAAGGGCTTCAGCTGGGGGAAGGGTGGGATTTCTGAGGTGGGTGAAGGATGGAGGGGTTTGAAAGGCAGGCCAGTGAAAGGCTACATTGAGAAGAGAAGAGTCCCACCAGCTCTCTCCCTCAGCTCAGGTGCTGCTGTGAGGAGTGAGGAAATAGAGACACCTCTCTCTGACATGGCAGTTATAGGGCTGAGGGCTGTAGATAGCCAACTGTTTGCCTGCCATGGCAAGTCTGGGCTGGGGCTGAGAACAATGGGTAGAGACATCTCTCCCCACCATAGTCCTAAGTGCTTGCACGGCACTTAATAGGCTGCTGCACAGCCACATAGCCTCACAGCTTAAAGGGAACTTAGGTTATTGGGTTTCTGTTTGGTGTGGATTGTACGATGATTATTAAGATTTCTGCACCGACTGAAGCTTTCCCCACATTCAGAGCAGACAAAGGGTTTCTCCCTTGTGTGGATTCTCCTATGTCTAACAAGGTGTGAGCTACTACTGAAGTTTTTCCCACAGTCAGAGCAGTAAAAGGGTTTCTCCCCTGTATGGATTTTGCAGTGCCTAATGAGGTGTGTGCTGGTACGGAAGCTTTTCCCACAGTCAGAGCAGTTGAAGGGTTTCTCTCCTGTGTGGGTTCTCTGATGTCTAATGAGATTTGAGTGCACAGTAAAGCTTTTCCCACAATCAGAGCAGTAAAAAGGTTTCTCCCCTGTGTGAATGCGCCTATGTCTAACAAGGTGTGACCTCTCACTGAAGTTTTTCCCACAATCAGAGCAGCTGAAAGGTTTCTCTCCAGTGTGGATTCTCTCATGACTAATAAGATTTGAATGCATAGTGAACTTTTTCCCACAGTCTGAGCAATGGAAAGGTTTATCTCCTGTATTGGTTCGCTGATGTCTAATAAGACTTGAGTGTCCACTGAATTTTTTCCCACAGTCAGAGCAGCTGAAGGGTTTTTCTCCTGTGTGGATCCTCCTATGTGTAATAAGGTGTGAGATCCTACTGAAGCTTTTCTCACAGTCAGAGCAGTTGAAAGGTTTCTCTCCTGTATGGGTTCTCTGATGTCTAATAAGATTTGAGTGAGCACTGAAGCTTTTCCCACAGTCAGAGCAGTTGAAAGGTTTCTCTCCTGTATGGGTTCTCTGATGTCTAATAAGATTTGAGTGAGCACTGAAGCTTTTCCCACAGTCCTCACAGTAAAAGGGTTTCTCCCCTGTGTGGATTCTCTGATGTGTAATGAGGTGTGAGATCCTACTGAAGCTTTTCTCACAGTCAGAGCAGTTGAAGCGTTTCTCTCTTCTGTGGATTCTATGATGTTCAATTAGGTCTGAGCTCTGAATGAAGCTTTTCCCATAGTCAGAGCAGTTATTGGGTGTCTCTCCTCTATGTATTATCTGACCGCTACTAAGGCATGAACGTCGACTGAAGCATTTCCCAGAGTCAGAGCATTTGAAGGGCTTCTCTCCTGTGTGGGTGCTTTGATGTTCACTAAGAGATGCACACTCACTGTAAGTAGAGGGTGCTTGTTGATGGGGTATTTTCTGTTGAACAGTTTCTGTGGGTTTTTTCACACCTCTGCTTCTGTGACTGGATTTACCCTGTCCCTCCACTGGATGGTTTCCCTGCTGCCTTTCTGGGCTACTCTGACTCTCACAAGTCTCTCCCTGTTCACATATCTGGGAATCACGCCCTTCAGATCTCTTAAATAACATTCCATGTGGAGCCA